TGAGTGTTGATAGCTGATCTAAGAAAAATGAAGTCCTTGACAACTATTAGTTTGTGTTGAATTTGGTAAAACAAGAAACTAGTTTAAAAATACAAATAGTCATTCAATGACCTAATCTGAAACTGTAAATATGATTTTTTTTAAGACAGTAAATTTTCCCTCCTTTGTATCACAAACTGGATAGTTATAGATAAATGATTTGTCTGAAATTTCTCGTTTGCCTTTTTTATGAATTCAGTTAAACTACTTGAAGATGAGTTGACACTAACTAGAAAAGCACAGAAGTAAGGGAATTGAAACACTCACCCATTGCTGACAAGGATGCAGAATGGTACAGCCATTGTGGGAAATAGTGTGGTGGTTCCTCAAAAACTAAAAATAGAACTACCATGTTGTTGGTGTTAGGTGCTCGCAAGTTAGTTCCAACTCACAGACCCAATGGACAACAAAACAAAACACTGTCCAGTCCTGTGCTATCCTCACAATTATTGTTATGGTTGAGCCCACTGTTGCTGCTACTGTGTCAGTCTATCTTGTTGGGGATCTTCCTCATGTTCTCTGACCTTCCACTTTACCAAGCATGATGTCCTTTTCCAGGGATGGGTCCCTCCTGACAATATGTCTGAAGTATGAGAGACGAAGTCTCACCATCTAGGCTTCAAAGGAGCATTCTGGCTGTAATTCTTCCAATACCGATTTATTTTTTCTTCTGGAAGATCATAGTACTTTCTTTTTTTTTACTTTAAAAAAATACTATTTATGACAAAAGGCTGTACTGATCTACCTATTATGTTTACATATATACCAATATAGGAAACAGCTTAATAATGAATGACATCTAAACTTTACAAAGAACACACAAACATTGTAACACTGATTGGTTATAGATAGCAGAGTGGGGGGGAAGTCCTTAGTTATAATTTGAATTTTAGGTAAAGAACAGTACCATTTGAGAAGAATCAAATCAATTAGCAATAATCATAGATACCATAAAATAATATATAATGTTGCTAAGCCATATTATTTTCCTCACATTCAATGCAAATAGATAAAAAATAATATGAAGAAAAATATGTCCTCATTATTATTCACAATAAAAAGGGTCTGCTTAGGGAACAAACAAGATGGTGGATCGGGTGGACGTATAGCAGAGAGCTCTGCCAACAACAACA